ACACTTGAGTACAACCAAAAGATGCACTAAACACTAGCGGCTCTATTTACATAATAACGAAACAAATAGTTCTGAAGCACTAGAAAGACCACTTGTATACTATTTCTGAAAAGCACAATTAGCATAAGCACACTTAAAAATGCGTAGTTGTTGCCTCGTGCCCGTGAAGGCGAACCAAAAAGCCAAAATACCAAAACCAAAAAACCAAAAATAGCAAAACCAAAAAAACCAAAAAAACCAAAACCAAAAAAAAAACCAAAAACACCAAAAAAACCAATTTTCCGGGACTCTTGGAGAAGCCTCATAGGATTTCCTGAGAGTCCCGGAAAATTGGTTTTTTTGGTATTTTTGGTTTTTTTGGTTTTGGTTTTTTTGGTTTTTTTGGTTTTGGTTTTTTTTGGTTTTTTTTGGTTTTGGTTTTTTGGTTTTTTTGGTTTTGGTATTTTTGGTTTTTCTACTGTCCCGTGTATGCGATTTTAATTGTATTTTAGTCTACGCCCTAGGAAATACGCTATATTGCACACCGAGTTTGCTTGCAGTGCAGCTGGGTGACTTGAAACAAGGCGAAAAAGGGTAGGTCACTGGGGGGGGGTACCATATATATATATATATATATATATACATATATATATATACACTATGTATATCCGCCGACCCCAGCCGGAGCGGGGGCGGCGTCAGTGAAGACCCATTGCCCCTACCGCCTACTCCACCCCATCCAAAGCTCGACCGGCCCCCAGTGCATGCCCGCCCGCTTGCCCTACCCCCACCACCCCCCGCCCCCCGCTCCTTCCCTTGCCCAAGCCCCCACGCACCCCGCCATGCTTCTCATGGACCCATGGCTCCTCCCAGTGCATGCCCGCCCGCTTGCCCTACCCCCACCACCCACGCACCCCGCCCCCCGCCCATCCGCCCTTCCCGCTCCGCATACTCCTTCCCTTGCCCAAGCCCCCCACGCACCCCGCCATGCTTCTCATGGACCCATGGCTCCTGGTCCCATTCTTCATCCCAAGCTCGACCGGCCCCCAGTGCATGGCCGCCCGCTTGCCCTACCCCCACCACCCACGCACCCCGCCCCCCGTCCATCCGCCCTTCCCGCTCCGCCTTGCCCAAGCCCCCCACACACCCCGCCATGCTTCTCATGGACCCATGGCTCCTGGTCCCATTCTTCATCCCTCCTATTTATGGCCCTGCTCCACCCCCACCACCCACGCACCCCGCCCCCCGCCCATCCGCCCTTCCGCCGCTCCGTACTCCTTCCCTTGCCCAAGCCCCCACGCACCCCGCCATGCATGTCTCATGGACCCATGGCTCCTGGTCCCTTCATCCCAAGCTCGACCGGCCCCCAGTGCATGGCCGCCCGCTTGCCCTACCCCCACCACCCACACACCCCGCCCCCCGTCCATCGCCCTTCCCGCTCCGCATACTCCCCCCCTTGCCCAAGCCCCCCGCCATGCTTCTCATGAACCCTGCTCCACCCCCACCCCCAACCCCCACCCCCACCCGCACGCACCCTGCCCCGCCACCCATGGACCCATGGCTCCTGGCGCCCGCTGCCCGCTCCGCCCCCATTGACTCATGGTCCACGGCCCATGGATGTGGCTTCTCAGCTGACTTTAAAGGCCCCAGTCCATGCCCGGGCCCTCCGCCCGCTCCGCCCGCTCCGCCCTCCGCCCTTCCAGCTCCGCCTACTCACTCCCTTTGGCCCATGCTCCCACTCTCCATCCCCTTGACCTCCCCCTCATGGACCCAGCTCCCTACCCGCCCCGCCGCCCATGCCCCTCATGGACCCATGGCTCCTGGCCCCATGGCTCCCCTCCGCCCCTGCCCCCACCACCCACGTGCCCGCCCTTCCAGCTCCGCCAACTCCCCTCTTGGCCCATGCTCCCACTCTCCATCCCCTCGACCTCCCCCGCTTGGCCCGCTTGCTCTACCCCCACCAACGCACCCCGCCCCCACCCCCCCCATCCGCCCTTCCCGCTCCGCAACTCCCCCCATTCTTCATCCCTTGAGCTGCTCCACCCCCACCCGCAGCCCGTGCTTGTCATGGGCCCCTTGCTCCTGGCTCCACCCCCACCCCCAACCCCCACCCCCACACACCCCACCCTTTCCACACTTCCAACCCCCACCCCCAACCCCACCCCCCACGCACCCCGCCCCCCACTGAACCCATGGCTCCACGGCCCATGGATGTGGCTTCTCAGCCCCTTCCCCTCACGCGGAGCCATGGCTCATGGTCCACGGCGCATGGATGTGGCTCCACGGCCCATGGATGTGGCTTCTCAGCTGACTTTAAAGGCCCCAGTGCATGCCCGGGCCCTCCGCCCGCTCCGCCCACTCCGCCCTCCACCCTTCCAGCTCCGCCTACTCACTCTCCTTTGGCCCATGCTCCCACTCTCCATCCCCTTTGACCTACCCCTCATGGACCCAGCTCCCTACCCCTTACCCCTCACTGGACCCATGGCTCCTGGCCCCAATTGGCTCCTGGTCCCATGCTGCCAATGCTGGTCCTTTTTGTGGCCCCTGCTCCACCCCAACCCCCAACCCCCACCCCCATACCGTACGCACCCTGCCACCCCCAACCCCCAACCCCCACCCCCACCCACCCACACTTCCAACCCCCACCCCCACCCCCCACGCACCCCGCCCCCTGAACCCATGGCTCCTGGCCCCATTGGCTCATGGTTCACGGTGCATGGATGTGGCTTCTCAGCTGACTTTCAACCTACCCCTCATGGACCCAGCTCCCTGCCCATCCGCCCTTCGCGCTCCTATCCCCCCCAATGCCCAAGCCCCCCACGCACCCCGCCATGCTTGTCATGGGCCCGTGGCTCCTCCATTCTTCATCCCTCGACCTGCATGGCTGCCAATGCTGGTCCTGTTTCTGGCCCCTGCTCCACCCCCACCCCCAACCCCCACCCCCACCCCGCACTGCCCCGCCGCCCATTCTTGTCCTGGATCCATGGCTCCTGGCCCCACGGCTCCCCCCACCCGGACCGCTCCGCCCGCCCTTCCAGCTCCGCCTACTCCCCCCTTGGCCCATGCTCCCACTCTCCATCCCCTCGACCTCCTCTCCCCCGCTTGGCCCGCTTGCCCTACCCCCACCACCCACGCACCCCCGCCCATCCGCCCTTCCCGCTCCGCATACTCCCCCCCCTTGCCCAAGTTCCCCACGCACCACGCCATGCTTCTCATGGACCCATGGCTCCTGGTCCCATTCTTCATCCCTCGACCTGCCTGCCAATGCTCCCCCCCTTGCCCAAGCCCCCCATGCTTCCCCACCCCCACCCCCCACGCACCCTGCCCCCCACTGGACCCATGGCTCCTGGCCCCATTGGCTCATGGTCCACGGCCCATGGATGTGGCTTCTCAGCTGACTTTAGGGGTTCGGGTTTGTGGTTTCGAGTTTGGGGTGTACGACGAGGCCTCAGGTTCAAGTCTCCTGGTTACGGGGGTTTAGGGTTTGGGGGTTTGGGGTTTCAGGGTTGCGGGTTTCGGGTTTGCGGTTTGCGGTTTTAGATTTGGGGTTTAGCCCCAACTCCCTGCGCATCAGGGCTCCATGTTTCGCCCCCCTGAACTCTACAATCTGACCAAGCCCTGCGCATATATCTATATATATATATACATAATCCGCGGCCGGAGCCCACAGTGCCTTGGCCCCCCTTGGAGGGGGTCGGCGGCACTGGCGGTAGCCATTAAATCGGGCAGCGCGAGGTCCCCAAAGGACCGAGCAAATGCGGACCTTCTAGCCCGGGTCGTCCCGGGAATAGCCTTGCTGGCCTCTGGCCTTCTGCGAAGCAGAATTAGGCCGGACGCCAGTGCCGCCGACCCCCGCGTGCCGCCGGTGAACGGTTTTTTTTTCGTGGTTTTTTGCGTCGCCACGGAGGCCCCCAGAGGGCGCGCATCATGAGCATCAGCGGGTCCAGCCCGGGACCCCCAGGCGCGCATCAGGAGCATCAGCGGCTCCCGGGGCGGGACCCCGGGGGCGCATCAGGAGCATGATGCCCCCCTAAGGGCGGGCATAAGCGACGTGTCTCAGCCCGGGGCTAGGAAAAAGGGAGTTTAGGGGCCTTATAAAGTGCTTAGAAACTTTAAGGGAGTCTAGGAGCCTCAAACGAGTTTAGGGGCCTGAAAATGCTTAGAAACTTTAAGGGAGTTGAGGAGCCTCGAACGCTTAGAGATTTTAAGGGAGTTTAGGGGCCTCAAAATGCTTAGAAACTGCTCGCCCCGCGCTTCTGCCTGCGCTGCCCGCCCATGGGCGCAGCCCCTTAAAATATATAGGTCTGTATATGTATTGTATATGTATGGGGGCCTTTACCCTCATTCCCTACTAACTAAGGACCAGGGGGCTTTAAGGATTGCAAGGCTGGCTAACAGTGATCCTGCTGACTTAGGATGGCCCTCAACCCGCGGCCCTTACTGCTGTGGGGGGGAGGGGGGGCGGGGGGGGGGAATTGGGGGGGGGAATTGGGGGGGGGCATTGGGGAGTATTGAGGGGGGGGGGGGGGGGGTATTTCAACCCCCTAACCACCCAACCCCCCCCCCCCCCCAAACCTTGACCTCTGAACCCTTGAAACCCCTGAAACCCCCTTAATTCCCGACAAACCCTTCCCACCCTAAACCCGAAACCCGAAACCCGAAACCCTAAACCCTAAGAAAGCCCCCTTGGAGCCCCCGAGATGGGCCTTCTGAAGGAAGCCGTTGGGCCCGGTGAGGTGGTACCTGATTCGGGTTTGGGGTTTCGAGCTTGGAGGTTTAGGGTTTAGGGTTTCAGGGTTTAGGGTTTAGGGTCTAGGGTTTAGGGGTAGGGGTTTTGGGGTTTAGGGGTTTAGGGGTTTTAGGGGTTTAGGGGTTTAGGGGTTTAGGGGTTTAGGGGTTTAGCGGTTTAG